CACAATTAAGTGAGGTATAGCAAGGAAAATGTATAATAGCAGAATCCTGAAAATCTGTTCAGGAAAGAATAATTGAATATTTTGAAACTGGAGGGCATTCCCTTATGCATTCTCCATTATTTACTGATACACAGACTGAAACCAGAAGATGAGAGGAAAGAGCAAAGGGGGAGTAGTGGGAAGGGGAGGGAGAGGGAGAGGGAGAGAGAGCTGGGTGTTCTCAGATCATGTGCAGAGGGCTGTGAAGGAATTAATTTCCTATTCTGAAGCATTTATTTCTGCATGAAACAATTCCTCATAATTGTGATTAAATTAGCATAATCACTTTTAGGTGATGAGGTTATGACATTCAAAAGAAAACTAACTTCACAAAATGTACAAGTTACTTTCAGATAGGTACAAGTTATGTTTACCTTCCAGTGAAATTCCTGTGTAGGAAATGAAAACGTCAATACTTCAGTATATACTTATGCAATTAAATGTAACACGAAGTGTTTAGTTGAATTTGAATACTTCATTGCAGCTCATGCATCGCAGAGTCTGCTCCTGTTCTATGATGTTAATAAAGAGGAAAATTCCAGAGGCCAGCCGGAAGCCCTCACTCCACTGCTTCATCCTCTGCACCTGCTCCTGGGGGCCTGTCTGGTTCTCCAAGGCTACAGAGACCCCTGCTGGTCAAGAGCCCCCTCTACAGGCAGTTTTGTGTCCGCTCACAGTGATATCCCTTCACTGTGTTTTTTAGGCAGGAATATATGGTCGTGTCCTCGGGTCTCGGGCTGTTCATTTGCGGTTATAGTGTGTTCATGGAGTCGCCTCTAGAGACAGTGAAGAGAAACTTCCAGAGTCTCCTTGGTATATGGTATCATCACTGGTACTGATGACTGAGAACCGCTCCAGCCGCTTCTCTGGAGAATCCAGGTTCTCCTCAGAGTGGAAAGCTGCAAAAAGGGACGTCTTGCTCGGGAAACTGTTATACATGTCCAGTGTTTATGCACTGCATGTCCGCTCATGCCCTCGGTATCGTGTGTTCTAAATAATTTACCTTTCAAAATTGTAAACAAGAAAAACCAACTCAGCTCAAACTCCACGATGAACCTTCTGTGTTCAGTCGTAATAACTTAGTGGGAACACCTTGGCCTCCAGGGCGGGGCTCCTCTCCAGAGCTGAAGGGTCAGGGCTGGGCTGAGTTTCATCAACAGAATGAAGTCCTATTTGAATGTCTCCCTGCTACACAGACAGCTCTGGGGATGGAAAACTCAAGAGAGGCTGTTCCCGCATCCAATGTGAGTGTTCTGGGCAGTTTTGGTAACAGAGATCATATTCAAGATCATATGGCATATCATTACATGATAATGGTCTGCTATCTAATTTTTTAAAATCTGACTGTAAAGAGAAAAAACAATAAAAACAATGATACAGAATTTCAAAATAAGATAATAGGAGATTAAGAATGGTTAATATAATGTGTATTGTTATCTTCAAATTGGTTGCTCAGATTACAAGACACAGGCATGAAAAATAGATCAAACAATATAAGCACAAACCATTCCTATCAATGAATTAATAGAAATTAGTAGTATAATTTCTATTATACTACAAATGTGTGTGTGTGTGTGTGTGTATTTCCTTTCTTCTTTTCTCCTTTCCCCATCCCAGTTGTTTGTTCCATTTGAGCAGTTACTTCCCCTTTCACAATATCTATTGTACACTTTGAATTTTATTTATGTTTTCAGTTTCTTCCACTAGGGAGGCAACATGATGTTTGCACATATGAGTTTGATTTATTTCACCTTAAGTATGATCTCAACTTGCAACCATTTACCTATAAAAGCCTCAAGTTTATCCTTCTTTAGAGCTGAGTTGTTCTCCATTGTATAAAAATAGCACATTTTTACATACATTCCTCCTTTGTTGGGCATTTGGGTTGTTTACAAGATTTAGCTACTATAAATTGTGCTGCTATAAACATGAGTGCATATATATCACTGAGGTATAGTGTTTTTAGCCTTCTGGGAAAATAGTCAGGAGGAAAATAGCTGAATCAAATGAGACTTCTAATCCTAGTTTTCTGAGGAATCTCCACACTGATTCCCATGGTGCTTGCATCAGGCTGCACTTCAACCAACAGTAGAGGAGGGTTCCTTTTTCCCAACAGCCCTGACATATTTGTTATTGTTTGATTTCTTAATGATAGCCATTCTGTCTGGAGTGAGATAGAATCTCAGTGTTGTTTTAATTTGCATTTCTCTGATGACCAGTACTGCTATGCTTTTAAACTATATGTATTTGTATTTCTTCGTATGAGATTGTATGTTCAACTCAGATGCCCATTTTTGGATTGAGTCTTTGAACTTAGAGGGCCTGATTTTTTTCAGTCCTTTATGTGTTTTGATAGAAGTCCTTTGTCTCAGGGCTAGTTGGCTAAAGATTTTTCCCACTGTGTAGGTTACCTTTTCATTCTGTTAGTGATTTCTTTTGATATGCAAAAACTTTATAGTAAGATGTGATCCCAGTTGTCAATTCTTTAAAGTACGACCGATGCAATGTGGTTTTCTTCATGAACTCTCCGCCTACCTGTATGTCTTCAAGAATTCTACCTACTTTCTCTTGCAGTTGATTCAGTATTTCTGCTTTAATATTTAGATCTTTGATCCATTTTGACTTAATTTAGTGCCTGGTGATAGATTTAGTTCTAGTTTTAGTCTTTGGCATGTGGAAAGCCAGTTTTTCCAGTACCATTTATTTTGTGAATTTCTTTTCTTTCTTTTTTTTTTTTCCCCCGGTATCAGGAATTGAACTCACGACCTCACGCTTGCCAGGCAAGTGCTGTGCTGCTGAGCTAAATCCCCAGCCCCATCACCTTTTATTGAAGAATCTCTCTTTCTTCCAGTGAACATGTTTGGCCCTTTTCAAAGATAAGGTGGCTGAGTGTGTTTATAGTTGTGTCTGCATCTTTTAATCTGTTCCACTGATTCACAGACCTTTTTTTTGTTAGTACCATGCTAATTTTATCACAGTAGTTTTGCAGTATAGTTTTAACTCAGAGATTTGGATGCCTCCTGCCTTGCCATTGTTGCCAAGGATTGCCTTTGCTATTATAGGTCCTTTCTGTTTTCAAATGAATTTTAGGGTTCTTTTCTCTAGATCTATGACATAAGCTCATTGTACTTTGATCAATATTATCTTAAATCTGTATAAAATTCTTGGAATTATGGACATTTTCACAATTTTGGTTCTTTCTATTCATGAACAAGGGATATCTTTCTATTTTCTTTTTTTGGGGGGGGGGTTTCTCCGGTACCAGGAACCGAACTCATGACCTTGTGCTTGCCAGGCAGGTGCTTTTGCCGCTGAGCTAAATCCCCAGCCCCTCTATTTTCTGATAGCCTCTTTGATCTCCTTTTTCATAGTACTGTACTTTTCAGTGTATAGATCTTTTACTTCCTTTCTTAGATTGATTCCTAAGTATTTCATTTTATTGGATTGTATTGTCAAGGGTATGATTTCCCTAATTTCTCTCTCAATGAGTTTGTTGTTTGTGTACAGGAATGCTACTGATTTTTTTTAAAGAGCAGAATATATTTATTGAGGGAAAGAAAGCTTCTGTCTGAGAGAGGGACAGAATGGGACCTGAGAGGGGTGTCCTGCTACTGATTTTGGAATGTTGGTCTGTTGTGTAATTAACTCTTCAGTTTCTCTCATTTTTCTCTGCATTCACAATTCGTGATTTTTTTGTCCCCTGTTTACTCTAAGTCAGGATCATTTTCTTAGCAAAGAGGATGGATTTGATATATTGAAACCAAATTTAAAAAGATGAAGTTCTATGGTGGATGCAACCTCACTTCCTGCCCACTAATTGCTGACTGCTCTTTCTGTGTCCTGCTCTATGTGCCTTGGATACCACTGATCTCCTACCTCCTTGCCTGAGAGATCAGGAAATGGTGGCACAATGGTGTACAGTGCGGACTCCATATGAGACAGGGAAGGAGGGGATTCTGTGACAGTCAGATGAGCACAATCAGTTCTGACATCACATCCTATATTAAGAAAGCAATTTTACTTTTGCATTACTAATATACCTTGAAATTTTCCATAAATTTGGAAATAATTATGCATAATTTATGATATATTTAAATGTAGAGGAAAGGGTGAGCATTCTGCCAAAGAATGAGTGAGAAAATTCTTCATGTGCCACCTTGAGTATGTCGAAGTCACATCTGAGCCTCTTCTGAGCACCAGAAAAAGTACCTTAGCTGTAGGATTAAAATCAGAAATCATGGGGGCTGGGGATTTAGCTCAGCGGCAAAAGCGCCTACCTGGCAAGCGCAAGGTCGTGAGTTCGGTTCCCGGTACCGGAGAAAAACCAAATAAATAAGTAAATAAATAAACAAATAAAATCAGAAATCTTGCCTTTCATTTTAAGGAAGCAGATTTTAAAAAAACAGCTGAGAGAACAAAAAGGACAAGTAAACTATTTAAAAAGAAATTAGGTGAGCTCTGAGCTGGACTTTGGAATTATCTGTGAGAGGGAGTGTAAAATTTAAGTTTGTAAAGTATTATCCATTCCCGTAAATGGGCTATCTCTCTCATGTCTCTATTCTAAATACCAAAACTGGTGATGAAAAGGGAATATCACTCAGATGTCCTTTTCACTGGAAAAAAGTCCAACATGTTCTCTTTGTGTCCTCAGGTTCCAGTTCTGGTGACCAGAGAAGAGTCATTTGTGCCTTCAAAAATGACATCTGAATGTGTGTGCAAGCGAAAATATATCTTACCATTAAATCAAATTTCCAATTCAGGAAAGTAAAAGATAAGTATTGACTCATGAATACAGAGTCTGCTGGAGATCATGTCTCATGGACCGGAAGTTTCACATCCCGGCAGGAAAACAGACTGGTTCCCACCTCTGCACCTGTCCTTCACTGACATTGGATTCAGTGTGTCCTGTGCGCCACCTGCTGGTCATGAGCATCACAACAGGGAGGTTTATGTCTGGGCACTCAATGATGTCCTCTCACTGTGTCTCTTGCACAGTAATACATGGCCGTGTCCTCGGTTTTCAATTTGGTCATTTGAAGATACACTGTGCTTTTGGAGTCATCTCTGGAGATGGTGAATCTGCCTTTCACAGACGTAGCGTATTCTGTTGTGTGACTATTAGCCTTGTTTCTAATAAAACCAACCCACTCCAGCCCCTTCCCTGGAGCCTGGCGGATCCAGTCCATGTAGTAGTCGCTGAAGGTGAATCCAGAGGCTGCACAAGTGAGTCTCAGGGACCCCTCAGGCTGCACCAAGCCTCTGCCGGACTCCACCAGCTGCACCTCAGCCTGGACACCTGCAAACACAGAGACATCCTGCTCAGGTAACTGTCATTCGTGTCCACCATTCATTCCACTCCTGTCCGTGCACACACTAAGTATCCTTTGTTCTTCATCAATTACCTTTTAAAACAGCAACGAGGAAAACCCAACTCAGTGCAAGCTGTATGATGTGCTGTCTTTGCTCAGTCCTGATCACTGAGAGGAAACACCTGGGCATCAGGACTGGGCTCCTCTCCAGAGCTGCAGGGTCAGGGCTGGGATGGTTTACATAGGCAGAGAGGGGCCTTATTTGCATGTCCTCCTGCTCTATAGAGAGCTCTGTGGACAGGAAGTAGCAAAATTTCAATACCAGAGTAGATGTGGGTTTGCAGGTCAAGTCTGTGGAAAATAGTAACATTATGTAAAAGAAGAATTTTATGCGACTATATTATGATTCACTTATAAATTCACAATCTTAATTTACTTTTACACATTCAAGCAATATATGATACAAATGTCAGTGTTTGCTCAATTATACACATGTATTATTCCTCAGAAGCACAAATGAGTGATTCAGTGTGATCAAGGGTTCATATGTGGTGTAAATCCAGTGGATCCAAGTCCTCCCTCCCCATCTCCTGGACAGAGTCAGACAGGCATAGTAAGATTCACAGAGCTTGTTTTCAGTATTCAAAATGTACTCCTATTTTTCTAACTCGTGTTACCTGTGCTTCAGGGATGGACCCCCTGTGCACATGAGGGTCACATTGCATTGAAGAAGGTTGTAGATTGGCTGTGAGGCAGTCTTGATTCTGCTCACATAAAGGAGGTTTGCACAGAGCTATCTAACAGAAACGCTACTATAATTTGTGTCCAATGTACATAAGTATCATAAGAAAAATATGATATAATGTCTTTGAATAATCTCTATATCTATTTGCCATCTATTTATCTATCAATCTATGCATCTATTATTTATCAATCTACTAATCTAAATCAATTTTTCTTAATTATCAAATACTCACTCTATAATACCAGAACTATCTAGTGTACGCTGTGCCCATTCAAACACAATTTTTACTTCTCCAGTAGCTTCTTTTGGATTATCAAGTTGGATCTTATGTAAAAGTTATTATAATTCAGAACAATATCCCTAGTCAGTGTGACTTCCTCTAATGGTTCCCTTCGTTGACACTTCTTTGGTGTATTATATATTCAAGGGCTGTAATGTAGTTGGACATTTTATGTAGAACGATGACATTGTCTTGGGTACTAGGTACCTATTTCATTGAGGTTGCAATTATTTCTTTTCCTGCTGACTTGTCACCTGTTCCTGCTTCTGCCTCTCATCTGTGGACATCAGTGTGTCTACAGGAAGACCAGGCTCTTCCTTGAGGGGTAAATCTGTAGGACTCAAACATCCCACAGTGGTACAGAGAGGGACACTCATATGAGTTACGGAAGACAGGCTGGGCCTGAACCTGGTGTTCAGCCACATAATAATTGTTCTAGTTCATCAATGTTGGGGTCTATATGTTATAAGATATGAAGTCCAGAACATGAAAACTTTTTGCTGTTTTGAAAGACAGAATGTTCATCATTAATGGCAAAAAGCAGCACAATAGTATGTATTTTTGGAAGAAACAGGTGCAGTATAGATAGAAACATCTACTTCACTTCACAGTCCTGGGAATCCTCACAGCATTGCTGAGTCCTCCTATCAGTGAATCCCAAGACTGTGACAGAGACAACATAAGTAAGGGACGGAGGAGAACAGAACGCAGGGCCTTCGCACCCCATTGAGAGATTCTCCGATGAAACTGACTTCCACAGAGATACATTTGCAAAGCAATAGAGATTGGGGATTTCTATAGATATCTGTAAAATCTTTGGCAGAAAGCCAAGGCTTTTTCATTTCGTCAACATTAAAATATTCTCACACACACCCAGAAAACATAAATCTGCTGTAAGCACTGTCATCTCAAAATAACACATTTGCACTCTTTTTCTTTTGTCTTTTTGAGACAAGATCTCACTATGCAATTCAGGCTGAACTTGAGCTCACTTTGTAGCCCAGGCTGGCCACAAACTTGCAAGGATCCTCCTGCCTTAGCCTCCCGAGTGCTGGAATTACAGGAATACACCACCACGCCCAGCACATTTGCACTCTTGTACAAAGAATATCTGTTCTTGTTTCTCTCCTGCATTGAAGTGGAAAAATGGAGAAAATCTACACATATGCCATGAGTTAGTTCCTAGGACAGCAGATAGACATGGAAAGAGTGAGCGGGTCCTGGGTCTCTATCTCACTGTCTTGTCATAGAGCCCCTTCTGCACCTGGCCAGGCCCACTTACATTTCTCCACCATCCTGTGCTGCAGCTATAGGAGCCCTCACCTGAGGCTCAGTAGCTGTGGACAACTGACGTTGTTATGTTCAACCTCTGAGACTTGGAATTAAATAAACATTTCTCTTTCTTAATTTATCCAGCCTCTCATATTTTGTTGGAACAACATACATTTTACTAAGGTACACAAACATAAACATATTAATCTCAGAACAAGGAAGAAATGTTCCTAACACATTGAGTCCTCTGTCTATATCTCAGTTATGTTTGTATTTTCAAGTATTTTCCATTAGTAACTTTTTCTGGATTGCTTTTGGTTTGAAGCAGGTCATCAGCTAGTCACTGTGTTTTACCTGTGTGTGAGGACACAAAACTCCAGTGATAAAACTTTATTCTGGGCCATTAGTTGTCTTTAATCAGTTTGAGTACTTGCAATTCTATACGGAAATTAATCTCCTGGCTATGGCAATACCTTATCTTCCTGACAATTCTATCCTTGCTTCCTTTGTGGAATGTCAGTTGAATTTCCTTAGTACTCAGATTCAATCATTCCAGCTGACACTGGATTACTTTTCTTTTTCTTTTGACTCAAAGGCATGAGGATGCAAAATTGGTCTGGTGTCTAATGAAATTCTGAATTCCAGAGGAATTCATTTTTTTTTTCTTTTTGAAGTATCCCTCCTTTTAGAACTAAAATGTCTAAAGCATTTGACCATAAAATATTTGAAGCAAGAAAAAAAGATTTTAGTGTTACACTAGGCATAATGCTAAGTGAAATGCTGAAAATTTTTACCTCTTGATTCCTGTACATCCTGGTTATTAGAGAAAGATGCGATCTTCATAGTCTGGGTGTCAGTGAGGGGCACAGGTCTGAGCTCCCGGGACACAGACATAGCTTGCAGGACTTGATGCTGGTCAGTCACCGTGTCAGTAGCGCTCCCATTGTTTGTGGTAGCGCAGAGTTGGCGTCGGAGGAGTCTCTTTCAGACACTGTGCTGAGTGTGTCTCAATGCAGGTTTGCCCGATGCTTTCCCATGTTTAGACGGGGATTGGTGGGAGAACAGTACAGGAATGAGCATCTTCCTCATCACATTAGTCAAAGGCACAGGCGAAAACATCTCTTGCTCTGCTGTTTCTGAACTTGATTACCTGGTGAGGCCCTGTGCACCAGGCTTCTCCCCTGTCATGCTTTTCTGGTTCCTCCCTTATTATGGACACTTGCTAGACATACAAAGGCAGATGCTGCACAATCCTACTTATACACAGAGCACAAAACGATGATGTTCAGTGAAGGAGAGAGTAAAGTAGTAATTGTTATTGATTTGTTGGGAGTGGAAAGGAAGGGTATCGATCACAGGGGCAAAATTTCAGTTCTACAAGGAAGGTAAATTCTGGAGATCTATTGTGAAACTCATGTATATAAGTAACAATCTTCCTTAAAATATATAAATTTTAGAGGACTGCATCTTAAAATTTATGTCACAATAGAAAAGCCGCATATAGCAGGGTTTTCTGGGGGCAATATATGCACGATTGGCTTTGAAAGTCATAATGATTTGATAACTGTGTATGTTTGCTTCTATCCAATGCATCAAATTGCATAAATTAAATATCTACTATTTTAAGTTAATCTTATGTCATTAAAGCAGGTAAGATATGTGCTTAGTATATACATCAATGATAAGTAGATGATTGGTGGAGAAATCTTTAACATGTGGATTATAGGGAGATACATAATTGATTACAGATAATAGATGTATACATGACAGAGAAATAAATGGATCAAAACTGGAAAAAAGATGTAAGCAGTTACATCCTGTATAATTCTTAACTTACTCATATTTACATTTTTTTTTTTTTTTTTTTGGTTTAGTTTTTCTCCGGTACCGGGAACCAAACTCACCACCTTGCGCTTGCCAGGCAGGCGCTTTGCTACTGAGCTAAATCCCCAGCCCCCATATTTACATTGATGATAGATGAATAAGTAAATAGTTGGTAGTTAAATAAATAGAAGTATGATAAAACATAGATGGATGATAGATAGATAGATAGATAGATAGATAGATAGATAGATAGATAACTAGAAAAAGGTCATTGGCCAGAGTTAACATACCATATTGAATTCTGTTCATAATTTTGCAACTATAAATGAAGTGAAGCTTATGTATGTGGCCATCTAGAGAAGCTGCCACAATGACTTGCCACTTATAGAATCACTCCAACAACAGCTTACCACTTCCCCAAGTCCATACGATCTCAAAGCTCTGAATTTTTTATATGAGGTAAGAGTCACAGTCAGGGCCTGGCTTTGCCTTGTCCTTAGGGACTCAGGATGGACACAGACATGGCTGACCTCCCACTTCCAATATGTACAGGCCTTGGCTAGCTCTCTGGTCTCAGGTCTTTAGGCTGTAGCTGTTCTTCCATTGATCCATGCTCAGGCCACTCACTCTCCCCAAGTCAAATGACAAATGTGCAAGATGTAGAGGACAGGGCCCCTCAGCAGTTGGAAAATCAGATTTGCTGTGGTTTCCAAATTTTATTGAGAGTAAAGTACATAGAGTAAATTGATTTTGCAATATGAATAGGCACTAGGTGTAAGGCTTTATAATACAGTATTTGAGATTCAGCATTAGTTAGAATTGAGTCCACAAAAATTATATTTGGTAAGTGCTCTGTGATTGTAAAGTGTGTGACAGCATTGCTGGTCTGTACCAACTACATACCAGGAGAAACTCTAGCACAGAAGAATTAACACAAACTACCAATGCCTTGGCACTGCCAATGTCCTCAGAGGTGGAGAACTAAATAGCTCCACTAACATGTGGACATCTACATCAACATATCAACGTTGCTGTTTACTCAGAGTAAAAGGGTTTACATGAATCAGAATTGAGAGGAGCTCTGCAAAATGAGATGC